GCCGAACGGCTGCAGTACAACGATTTTCATCCGTCCTCATCTGGTGAGATCGACAAACGAATCTCTTCCTTATGCACTTTCATTCGAAATGAAGGTCCCCCTAACAATACTTTCTTATAATACACTTAAAATAATAATAAATTGTATTGTTGTAGAGTAAAGTGAGGTTAGCTATAATAAAAGATAAATCAGAAAATATTTTCGTCGGAGGCAAGTAATAGTTTTCGAAATATAGAAATTTCACAGAGAAGAGGGAGCATCATCCTGATAGTCCGCATATTCAGCAAATATAAGTAATTCTATTCCCCTCTTCCTGCAGGTAGCTTAGTCAAACAACAGCACCTTACGCTTCAAATAAGACTTTATTCTGGAATTGTCATAAGCTAAAAATAATTTTCTAGTATAGTCCATAAATCGATGGCCTCAATAAACGTTGCAGCGCAGGGCCAAAATTGCGAATAGATACGCCCGCCTTGATGAATATGAATAATGTTAACAGACTAAACTTGCTGTGTACATTGTCTGTAGGATTAGATTCAAGAAAGACGAGGAGAAACTTAGTCAAATTTAAAAGTCCAAATGTGATGCCAAAGCTAAGCATAGGAAAGAGGGAATCGACTGGTTCACGATTGGTTATCTTCAGTACCTTTGTGCGCTCTTTGATCTGTTGAGTCTTAAAGGCCTCCTCGATAAAACGCTGCTTGGCTTGCGTAGCCCATTTTGCTTGTGACGAGGTCAGATCATTGTCCATGGATTCATCATATCTCACTACGTCATTGCGCCGAATCGGCTCACTCTCGTAAACTCCGCCTTCACCAGCTAAATCCAATTGCTGTTTATAATACAAAGAATTAATAATAGTAATAATATAACGCAATATATTTGCACTTTTGTTATTATATTTCGTTCCTAAGTGGGGTTTCGAGACTACCATTAAATCAGTTATATATTATATATTCGCCCTATTTGGTTTAAGGTGGTGAAAGGCTAGTAGTTGAATTTTGCCACAATGATGTGGGTAAATCTAACGTTTCCATCGAATTACATGCAGACTTTCATTCACAAAAGTCGTTCACATTCAGACAGAAGTTGTCTGCAGTTTTGACCTGAACTAGGTCTTATCAAGACCTCCAGCAGAACTCGAACCATGACCGTACAGAGTACAATCTAAACACATTGCCACGAGTGCCTTTGGGTCACAGAGAAATATGAATTTAAAAGAAGACCAGGCATTTCCCATATCATAATCTTTGGCGGGATTGTCGATGAGGCAAAGTTATATCTGTCATGACAATCAATTACATTACTTATAGAAGTTGTTTGACCTTGTTTTCGCAAATTAATCATATTGGTAGGACTTAGAGAAACGCAATTAGTCCGGAGTCCACTGTATGCATGATCATTTCCAAAGTCGGATCGTGGACGTGGTACTTTTCGAGACGTTTCGCCGGCATCGTAGTCGGCATCGTC